TTCAGGAGGACAGAGCTGAGAAGAGGCTGGTGCAGACTCTGAAAGTGAGCTCAGAGATGCTTGGGCAGGAATTCCAGGATCCTAGGACCCCGAGGCAAGGCCTAGAAGTGGAAGGAGGTTCCAGGTGTAAGCCCTTGTGCTCTGTGATCTTCTTGCCCTGCGAGGACAAACACAGCTCTTGAAGGCACGGGAGCCAGGCAGGGACCCGAACCACCATGATCTAAATGTGATACCACGGGCTTCTCACCCTCTCATCTCCTAATGCCTGCCCTTTCAGCACTCACAACTTGACAACAGAGCAAAACCTGAAGTTGTCCAGCTACCTGCTTATAATCACCTTGGTAGAATGACCTCTTAGAGGAGAAGTTTGGAACTCAAACAACTGTGCCACTTTCCTATTACCCTTAAGTGAAAGTTGCTCAGTTGTGTCCGACTCTTTGTGATCCCATGGACTATAGAGTGCATGGAATTCTCCAGGTAAGAATACTGGAGTGGGTAGCCTTTCCCTTCTCCAGGGGATCTTCCCAACCCAGGGATGGAACCCAGGTCTCCCACATTGCAGGCAGATTCTTTACCAGCTGAGTCACAAGGGAAGCCCTATTACCCTTAAGGCCTCTATTTCCTCTCTTATTAGACTGTATAATGGAAAGCTGAGCACGCTTGGCTCTCAGGCAAGCTTTTCTTTTGATGGGTTGTCATTAGGATGATCAAGCACAGTGGCTCCATCAACTGTAATATTAGTGCTAGGGGACTTCCCTGGTGGTCCACCCTTCCACTGCAGGAGGTATTGGTTCAATCCCTGGGGAACTATGATCCCACATGCTGCACACAGTGGCCAAAAAAATAAATAAAATAAAACGGAAATTATCAGTGCTCGTGTTCTGATTGAAGGTGTGTGTGTGCTCAGTCGCTAAGTCATATCTCAGTCTTTGGGACCCCATGGGCTGTAGCCCACCAGGCTCCTCTGTCCATGGGATTCTCCAGGCAAGAATAAGGAGTGGGTTGCCATTTCCTCCTCCAGGGGATCTTTCTAACCCAGGGATTGAATACGAGTCTCCTGCTCGACAGGTGGATTCTTTACTATTGTGCCACCTGGGAAACCTTCTGAGTGAAGGAGTCTCTAAATCCTGGGTCTCTGTCATTTACACATTTGCCTGTTTGAGAAAACTCTCCAAATGTTTAGCTAGGTCTATTTGCACCAATATTGCTCTCCAGGAGGTAGTGGAATCAGTGGCAAATCCCGGCCACTAAAACTGGATCAAGGACTGTTGCCCTCAGAGGACCCCAGAGGGGATAGGAATTCTGTCCAGGAGAGGGACTCTCTAAGAAGTGCTGCTGACATGGCACAAGACTGGGCTACGAGTGAGCATCTTCTTCTGTTTTTCAAGATGCCCCTCCCACTTGGCACAGAACAGCAAGGTCTGGGACCCAATACGGCCGTGCCACCCGTGATGGGACCCACTGCTCCAGCTCCCACCCCCATGAGCAAGGACTCATTCCCTAAGGAACCTACGTCCTCTATGGGGCCTGAATGACAGGGCTGGTAAAGCTGGCTTCATGAATGTAGCTCTCTTGCTGTAGTTCAGTGATTCTTTTATTATTATTATTTATTTATTTATGGGGCTGCATCGGGTCTTAGGGCTTCCCTGGCGGCTCAGTGGTAAAGAGCCTGCTTGCAATGCAGGTGCTGCGGGAGATGCAGGTTCAATCTCTGGGTCAGGAAGATGCCCTGGAGGAGGGCATGGCAACCCACCCCAGTAATCTTGCCTGGAGAATCCCACGGACAGAGGAGCCTGGCGGGCTGCAACCCACGGGGTCACAAAGAGTTGGACACGACTGAACAACGAACTTCATATGTTGAAATTGAATCCTCAAGGCAATGACGGGCTTCGGGAGGTGAATAAGTCATAAAAGTGAAGCCCTCATGAACAGAATTAGGGCTCTCATGAGAGAGATCCCAGAGAGCCCTCTTGCCCCTTCTGCCCTGTGAGGACATAAGACAACAACTATCTAGGAACCAGGAAGCAGGCTCTCACCGGACACCAAATCTTCTGGTGCCTTGATCCTGGGCTTCCCAGCCTCCAAATCTGTGAGAAATAAATGTCTGTTGTGTAAGCCACCTGGTCGTCAGTATTTTTGTTATGGTAGCGCAAACAGACTGACAGTACTTCTATTCCCAACTTTCTATTTACACTTTGTTTATTCGTTTTCTCATAGGAAAAATGGAAAGCAGGGGTTAACTGATTTGTAAAAAGCTCTAAAACTCAAGGGCTCTATAGACTTCTATGAAGTGACAGACATAATAAATATTCTTGCCCCCATCCTTATCTAACTTCTCATCCTTCAGGTCTTGGCTTGGGAGTTACTTCTTTCTAGCCTGCAGGGTGGGCTAGGAGACCCCTCTGTGTTCCCATGGTGCCTTACTCTACTCTATTATATATCATTCTCCTCCCTCTAGAGTATAATTATCTGTAAGTTAATTTGTGGGTTCCCTGTTAGTCTGCAAATTCTGGGGAAACTGAGACCAATCTTTCAGACTGTATCCTCAGCTCTGACTTCCAGCAGGAGCTCAATGATATATGAAATGATACTGTGAATGAATGGTTTCTGATACTACAGTCCTTTGGTCACTGAACTGGTGATGAAAGATGTTCTCAGACATCTATTCAGGGAATATGCTGAAATAGTCTTTGTTCTTCTGTCTGCCTTTAGAGATAGTCTTTGGACATATGTACCATGAGTATACACCTAATGAATCAGATTACCACATTGTTTAAAAGAGAAAACTTGAAAAAATTTTTCCATTTTTATGGTCAGAGAAACCACACTATTATACTCGGCTCACTTCTCATGAATAAAATAGAAGATCCTCTGCCTTCTCATCTGAGCTCTTCAAATTAATCTCAGGTCTGATTGTCCCAAAGCATTACTAATTGTATAGCAACATCATTTATATCACAAAATTAGAAACGACATCCATTTCCTGTCGTGGAGTGATGGTTAAATAAACTCTGACACTCAAACAGTGAACCCATGCACCCTTTGATAATGGTGCCTACAACATAATCTGAAGTTAAAAGGCAAGACACAAAATTACATAAGCAGTATGACTTTCACCATGTAAAAATATGTCAAATGTAAGCATAAATGTAGAAGATGTTATAGAATCTAAACTGTGGTTGTGTTTATGTGTTAGAACTGTGGGTGATTTTCTTTCTACTCTGAATTCTGCAGGTTTTCCTATTTTACTCTCATGTTAAAAAATCAGAATCAAGAAGTCATTTAATTGAAAGCATCTTATTATTTTCTTCCATAAAACTTTTGGCTATTGATACTGGTTGCGTCTGCCTGAAAGAACTGTCTGGAGGAGACAAAGAAGACCCGGAGGTGAAGCCAACAGAAGCAGAGGTTAGCGGACTTCCCTGGCGGTCCTGTGACTAAGAATTAGCCTTCCAATGCAGGGGACACGGGTTTGATCCCTGGTTGGGGAACGAAGGCTGTGGAAGCAGGGTGTGGACTGGAGTAGCTCCTGCCTAGGGCATGAGTCATCACGAATCTGTCATTGTGTGCCAGGCATTTCCCATCCTTTTTGTTTTCATTATGTCCTCACAAAAACTGTAAGAGACAGGTACTACTGTTACCCCCATCTTACAGCCACAAATGAGCCCTGAGAGCAGTCAACTCTTTTGCAAGGATGTGGAGGTGCTCAAGTGCAGGCCTGTGCAACCTGTCTCTTCCACCCTCCCTTTTCTCACCACCATCTTCGACGTGAGAGGAGGCTAAGGATCAAAGGGGCACATTTCTAAGCCATACTTCCTCTCATGCAAGGAACTTTGCATCAAAGGTACAGACTCCATTTCCATTATCAGGAGATTCTGTTTGAGAGAATGCTTCAAATGATTCCTGCCTGTCAGTGGAATGGTCTCCAGGGACCATTTGTCCACCTTACCATCTCAAGACCCTCACTAGAGTGCCATCCTCAAGTCATCTCTCTTTGCACATAAATCCATTGTTTTTGGGGCAAGGAACCTATTTATAAGTGCTCTCATTGTGGCCAACTCTGCTGATCTAAACCAACATGAGTTTCCCTGGTGGCTCAAATGGTAAAGAATCTGCCTGCAATGCCGGAGACCTGGGTTCGATCTCTGGGTTGGGTAGATCCCCTGGAGAGGGCAATAGCAACCCACTCCAGTATTCTTGCCTGGAGTATCCCATGGACAGAAGAGCCTGGTGGGCTACAGTCCACAGGGTCACAAAGAGTCGGACATGACTGAGTAACTAAGACTAACACATTTCGGCCAACTCTGCAGATCTAGAGCAACATGGATGCAGCCCAAGCCGGCTTCCTAGTGGAAATATGAACCTTGGATGCTCCCCACTTGCAGCACAGTGACAGGCAGGCTGTCACTGGGGGGTTGTTGAAAGGAGATTCACCCTGTAAACGCTGACGGGCTGAAACCGCTCAGCTGACACCGTGCATGCACACAAGCATTTTGAGGCTCTTTGTTACCCGGTCATGTTTTCTTTGCACAGAAACCTTCTGGTGTTAACAGTTCCAGGAGTGGGGGAGGGGAGACTTCACTAGGAGAGGATTCCGGGAGAGCAGAGCAGGGGACGGAGAGGGAGGCCAGTCCCACTGGAGTCTAGCATGTCACTAAAGTAAAGCAAATCCTCTCTGCCCTGCTCGCCAGCCCAGGGAAGCTCGGATGAGCGAGTGAGGAAAACAACAGAGACATTCCATGAAGCCAGCCACGCAGATGGGTCGGAAAGAAATGACAAGTGAGCTTACAGGAACTCCATTTCAAAATCAAGGTCAAATTCAAAACAAATGTGTGAGCAGGGGAAAAACATCATGATCAAAAGGGAATGAATCCACAGAGAGCGACCCTAACAAGAAGATCCAATCTGCAGGGGAACTGCCTGGGGATATTATTACACCCCACTGGGCTCTGTCTCTGGGTCCTGTCCCTCAGGGATATCGATGGCGAACGCTCACTTACTTTCTCTGGAACCGGACCACGGGGTCAGCCAGCAAGTCAGTGACATCAAGCTTCCTCCCCTTCTCAATGACGTCCCGATGCTTGCGGACAAACAGCCAGCCGATGTGGGAGAAGAAGAAGCCCCGGCGGGCATTGTGCGGGTCAGCGTCTGTCTCGGAGTACTTGTGATGGACTCGGTGGTCCCTCGACCACTCGAAGATGTCGTTCTGCAGGGAGAAGGCAGACCTGAGTGAAGGGATCAAGCACCCTGGCGTTTCCTGAAAGTTCCCCAATTTCCCCCACTCTCCTGCCTACTCCCACCCCCACTTCCATCATCACTACGGGCAGACTTGTTTCCATCCTCAACTCACAGTCTCTCAACCTCAAGTTCAGTCCCCGGGGGTTGGTTTGGGATGGTTTTCATCCAAACAAAAATACATCCTCACTTAGTAGGCATCTTAGCTTGTCCTTGTGTGTGTGCTAAGTCGTTTCAGTCATGTTCAACTCTATGTAACCCTACGGACTGCAGCACAGACTCCTCGGTGCAGGGGATTCTCACTTAGTAGGCATCTTAGCTTGTCCTTGGGTGTGTGCTAAGTCACTTCAGTCTCGTTTAACTGTGAGACCTTAGGGTCTGCAGCCCGCCAGGCTCCTCTGTCCATGGGATTCTCCAGGCAAGAATACTGGAGTGGGTTGCCATGCCCTCCTCCAGGGGATCTTCCCGACCCAGGGATTGAACCCAGGTCTCCTGCACTGCAGGTGGATTCTTTACAGACTGAGCCACCAGGGAATTAGGGTGTGCCCACTGTAGGAGGTTCCAGCTTGTTGAGTGAAGCAGTAAGGAAGTCAGAAGAAAGTTCTGGTGGGGACTACTGAAGCCCACTGGGGATCATTCATGTCTAGAAAAGAGACATTCATCCTCAAGGAGAGGGGCAACCCTGAGTATAGAAGGGGGTTAGTTGTTGGCCTGACTCTCTCTGTTCTTCCTCCTTCTCTTCAATGGGCTTCCTGTCCAACACACCAGAGAATAGAAAGTCAGTAAATAAAAACCCAAAGAGCTACTTCACCAAATCTCTGCAAAATGCCAAAGCACAAATAATATTGTCTGAGGACTGCTCTAACAGTGTGTTACAGACAGGAAGGGAGGGGACTTGGCTCTTTGAGGAATCTGGTCTGCTTGGCAGCATCCCAGGTGGAGAGGCAGGCGGCACTCACTGGAATCCCAGGAGAGACTCTGGTGCCCAAAGAAGCAGACACGTCGGAGTCCAGCAGGTTCTGCCAAACCCACAGATGGGGCGGGGCTTGGGCACGCATGGACGATCAGCTGTTGACCTCAAGACGGGAGACAGCGTCAGGGTCTGGAGGTCCTAGGTGAGCTATCCCAGGAAGTATTTCAGCTCAAACTGTTAATGAAACCTTAGCTATAGCCATGGGCCAGAGAGATCTATAGATTTTTTTCAGTTTATACTCTGTTTTGCTCTTATTTGATAATGCTTTCAAAACGTTGAGAATGGCAAATTAAGTCGGGAAGTAGCATTTTTGATAGGAAAATCGCAGCTGACCCTTGAACAACATGGGTTTGAACTGCACAGGTCCACTTCTACACAGATATCTTTCAATAGGAAATGCTATAGCACTTCATGGTTTGAGGTTGGTTGACTCTGAGGATGTAAAGGAACCACAGATAGGAAAATTCAACGAAAAATTATAGGTGGATTAACCACCGAGTTATTCAGGGGTCAACTGTAATCTGAAAATAAAAACAAATGTATATAGTGTATAAACCCTTTAAAAAGAGATAATAATGTTTTACACTGTATTATTCAGTACTGAGTCATGCTTTCATTAGGAATCTGTCATTTCACAGATATTGGCTTCTTCCTAATGATGATAAGAGAGAGAATTGCTTTATTCTCAAAGTTTTAACAGTTCTTTTAATCAGAAAAGGATTTATGGAGTTTTGTGTATGTTTGTGTGTGTGTGTCTGGCTCACCCAGTGCTGTTGGAAGGTGATTTGATCTTGTTTATCTTATAACTAAAAATTTGCTTAACACTTGGGTAATGGGACAAACAGGGAAAGTAGAAAGACCTTAAGAACTATATGCTCAGCTTTGAATATAAAGAGGGAAAAAAGGTGCTTAGAAGTCTGTGTAAGGTGAAAATTATAGCTTGGCTTACTGTGATAAGAAAGAGGCCTTTAAATTTTACCAGTGTGTTGAAACACAGTGGTTGGAAAGAGTGAAAGCATTCATTATTTATAATCACAGAATCTGGAGTCAGGAAGGAATTGCAAATGTCAAGATGACTGCAGCCTGGGGAATAATTTATTACTTTTTCATCCAACTTATTGCTTTTATTGCAAACCCATCTGTATATAGGAAGGAGGGGCAACACTCTGTCCCCAGTTCACAAAATTAAGGCTTAGAAGATATGTATCCAAGTTCATCTAGTAAGTCAAAACAATCATGGAACAAAGATGGAGCTCTTTCGGTTCTTAGTTCACACTCATTCAACAAGATATTTCCCTTATCCTTCAAGTTCAGGGGAGAGGGAATCTTTGAAAGATAAGTCTCATGTTTCTTGTTAAAAGGTTATGTTGACTCTTGAATTTATTACAACGCAATTTTATAAAAACTAAGTGGAGGGTTCCAAAGGGCTAGAAACATTATTCTTATAAAACTAAGCAAGATATAACAACAAGAGTGATAATGAGGACAAGTTGGAACAGAGATCTTTCTTTAATTCCTCTCACCTGGAGACCTTCCCTACAGAAGCTACTCTGAGTGAAGCAATGGAATGAAGCAAGGATTTTGGCCGCATTCCAAATAATTGAGCATACAATCGAGCCCAAATTCTTTATGATGTACTTTGAAAAATCTTTTATTTATTTTTTTACTCTAAAATTGAGTCCAATGAAAAAGTGACTCAAAGAACAAGACATAAGCCAACAATAGGGCAGAAGGGAAGCAGGAGTCACACGCTAATCCCTAGGGCTTTTTCTTCCTACTTTTCTGCATTTTGCTTCCACCCTGAAGTGGTTGGGTGTGGAAGCCAACGTGGGAACAGCATCCGTGTTTGATGAACAGGTGTGTGCAGCAAGGGTGTGTCCGGTACAATCAGTAAGTGAGGAAGTGAAAGCTGAGGACTGATAAGAGATGGCGGCCTTCCATCGATGAACTGTCCATCAAGTCTGCATATTCCGTCTGCCCATGCTCTGTGTGGACATTTTAGCAGGAGCATGATGTTGAATCCGGCAGCAATTCCTGAAGTCTAAATACATACCTTTTCTCACCAATCAATTAACAAATGATGCAGCTTAGAGCTTGTACTTCCCAGTTGGTTTGGGTAGATTACGGTCCTAATACCCCATTATCTTCACAAGTGGGCACTCACCACATGTTTACAGTGAAGGCAGGAGGAGAAGGGGATGACAGAGGATGGGATAGTTGGATGGCATCACCAACTCTATGGACATGAGTTTGAGCAAGCTCTGGGAGTTGGTGATGGACGAGGAAGCCTGGCATGCTGCAGTCCATGGGGTTGCAAAGAGTCGGACATGACTGAACCTGAGAGAGGATTTTTGGTGGTGAAGGGGGCTACATTAGTCTAAGAGTGCTGGCTATAACTGAGGCACAGGTGGGTGTGGGGCGGGAGGAGCAGGAGAGGAAGAGGGCTTATCAGAAGTGCATCCCTCTGTGGCAGGTTTATTATCTAAGGATCCATACAGTGTCCTACTTTGTGCTGTCCACGACAAATACAGTGCAAGCCACACATGTGACTTGAATTTCCCTAGTAACTACACTAAAAAAGTGAAATTAGACAAGTGAAGTAAGTTTTACTCATATATTTTTACTAAACAGACTAACTACATCATGACTACATGTCATTCAATATATTATTAGCATAAAATCATTAATGAAGTATTTCACAGGACTTTTTTCTGGACCGGTTCTTTTGAAACTGGGTATTTTACACTTCCAGCACACCTCAGTTTGGATCATCCACATTTCTAGTGTAACACATTTCAGCTGCCACGTGTGGCTGGTGGTTACCATATGGACAGGGCAGGCTTAACCCATGACTTGGACACTTTTCTATATGTGTTATACTTTTAAAGATTTTTAAAAAGTCAAAGTTGCTTATGGATGACAGTGAGAAACTGGCATAAATCATGTGAAGGGTGAATGCACTGCACATATCAGACGTGCTAAAATAGTGCAATTTGTTTTCTGGAGTTTATCTTAGGGAAACAGTCGTGACTGTATGCAAATGCTTAATCACAAAGATGTTCACCGAACTTGGAAAAACCCTGATTTTCCACATAACAGGGTTTTACTTACTACCTTGTGATACATTCATTAACTGAATACTATTTGTGTGTGTGTGTGTGTCCATAGAAATTTTCTGGAGAGAAACATGAAGTACACAGTCTTAGGGTTATGTCAAGGAAGGAAGACTGGAAGATAGGAGAAATACATTTTATTCTATACTCAGACATTTTTAACAAGAGCATCTGTTGGTTTTGTATTTCAAAAATGAGCAAAAAGGGACTTCCCTGGTGGTCCAGTGGTTAAGACTTCTAATGTAGGGGGTGTGGGTTCGATCCCTGGCCGGTGAACTAAGAACCCCCATGCCTCGGGGCCAAAAATAAAAACCAGAACATAAAATAGTAGCAGTAGTGTAACAAATTCAATAAAGACTTTAAAAAATGGTCCACACCAAAAAAATCTTTTAAAAAAACTGACAACAAATGTATATTGTAGTATTGACATGGACAGGTGAGGTAGAAAGCAGTTAAGTCAAAGACAAAATAAGAGATAGATTAATGAATGCACTGGGCTTCCCTGGTGGCTCACAGGTAAAGAATCCAACTACCAATGCAGGAGACGCAGAAGACACAGGTTTGGCCTTCCGGTCAGGAAGATACCCTGGAGGAGGAAATGGTGACCCACTCCAGTGTTCTTGCCTAGAGAATCCCATGGACAGAGGAGCCTGGTGGGCTACAGTCCATAGCGTCGGAAAGAGTCAGACACAAATAAGCATGAACATAGGAATGAATGGATTCTTAATAAAAATATGTATTTAAGCATAGAAAAATGTTTACGTATGTGTCATCCTGTTTATAGCTGTTCTCCCTAGGAAGCGGAGGCAGTGGATGACTTTTAATTTTTTTCTTTGTTTGTTGTATTTTCTACATTTTCATAAATAATCAAGTTTTTCTTCTGTA